GGGGGGGGGGTGTAAACGCCAAGACGGACGCCACCCTTCGCAGCGGTCAATCAACGATTAATGTCGCCGCGACGGTTGAGGCCGCAAGGCTTCGTCGCGCATCGCCGATCGATTATACACCGTCGTCGCCAACTGTCGCACTGCAGGATTCCTCTTCGGCGTTTTACAGGTGTCCAAAGAGGAGTACGAGACATGCCGGATAACGAATCCCAGTCCGCGGATAATAGCGGTCTGCGACAAGCCGCAAAGAACGATGTACTTCACCATCACCTTCAGGCCGTTCACGCCGCAGCCCGGTGGTCTCGAGTTCCTCCCGGGCCACGATTACTACTTCATCAGCACCTCGTCCAAAGACGATCTCCACAGGCGCATCGGCGGCCGGTGCACCAGCCACAACATGAAGGTTGTCTTCAAGGTCTGCTGCGCTGATGCCGACGCCTCGTCCTCGTCGGCGACGTCGCGTAACAACTGTAAGTAATCGGTCTGAACGTTGTCATTGCGGGCTCTGATGGATTTCGACGGCTACGAAGATTGATGTGGCCGCTCTACGGATGATAATCGCTTCGGCATTTCAATCGCAAATGACTCGAATTTTTTTCTCACGCTGATAGAAAATTATAGTTGGTTTCTGCGTCAAACGTACCCTTTAACCGTAAAAATAGAAATTATCTTTTTACTGTTATTATAGTATCAGTGATAATAACTCTTATTCGAGTCAAAATTTTAGTTTAGTCCCACTTTAAGTCTAATTTAGTTCTACGTTAAGTATTCAAAGGTCTTCCATTGCGCTCTTCTGATATTACAAATGGAAAGTTATTGCCCAAGTTTTCTCCATTTGAAGACTCAATGTAGGTCTAAAATGTTGACTAAATTCTCTTTGTAGCATTAGAGGAGCACTAATCCTGCTGTTCCGTTTGGATCTATTTGACTCGAAATCATTTTTACTTCTCTGTTACATTTTTATCTTTTGTGATTTGAACAAGCGTTCTGGCATTTCAAGACTTTGTTTTATAGCTCAAGAACATTTATTTGAAACTAAGCTATGAAACAAAGTTATGAAATGCTAGAACGTTCGCTCACCATATAAAAATGTAACGGGGGAAGGGGGGGGGGGGAGATAAAAATTATTTCGGGTTAAATAGATCCGAACAGAACAGCGGGGTTAATGTAGAACTGAATTACGCTTAAAATAGGATTAAAATTTCGACTTGGTTACATGCATGTTTCTATAAAATATTTTGGCGCCGAAATTAATTGTAGTTTTTTATCAGTGTACTTGTAGAACACTCGGGCGAGAAACGCACTCCCGCGCTCGCCCCGCGAGTCCCCTTTGTTCTTTCCATTATCGTAAGAAGTGGAAAATTCCTCAACCTCCGTGAGCAATCGAATGGCGTGTCGATTCGCTCCGCGGGCTTATTCGCGCTCTCTCCTCATTTGCATCGCATTGCGCGCACCCGCGTACTCCGCTGCACCCGAAACGCTCTTCCCATAAAGAAGAAGAAGAAGAAGAAGTCAATTCTTGCGCGCGCGGAGCAGTTAAAATATTCTAATTTCTCAATTATCATAATCTGAAATTACAGGCGTCGTTTACACGATGGACACCGCCTTTTCATTCCGCGTGTAAATCACGTTCTCCGACTCTTCACGCTTTCTCGTTCCGCGCGACCTCCGTCGAAAACGCGCGGCCTGGCGAAATAAAGAATGAATGCGAACGGGCGAGGGAGGGGAGCCGCGTGGACGAAAGCGAAAAATCCTCCGTAAATTCATTATCCCGTAATCAGTTACGTGAGGAGCGGCTACCATAACGGACGGCGTGGTTCGTTTCGCTCGCCGTCCTTCGCGAGCTCGTTTCCTCGTCCTCGTCGTCCTCGTCCTACCCACCCTCTTCTCCTCGCCGTCCTTCTTTCCCCTGTGTGTCCGCGGTCCCGCCGCCTCTCTTAAATAATCCCTATCGATTATAATCCTTACCGTGCGTCATTTGTTGCGGTCGGGGTGACCAACGCCGTGTCCCGGGGCACGATAAATTCTACCGTTTCATTTCACCCCGCTGTTCTCTCCCCAATTCGTTCCGAAGCATCCTCTCGACGCGTCCTCCCGTTCCTTCGTCCCTTACTCCCCCCCCCCTCTCCCCTTGAGGCCTCGCTCCCTTTCGTTCCTACCACCTCTGCCCCGGCGGAGACGATTCATGCGCCATAATGACCAGCTATTTCGCCGGCCGGGAACTCTGAACTCTCTTCCCGGCATTTCGAGTATTGAAGATTCCACGGCGCGCGAGAGCCGACCTCGCGTCTACGGTAGACGTCGGGGAGTTCGCGCACGCGCGCGCGGCTACTTCCAGACAATTATATCGCCCGGGAGCGCGTTCGTCGGCCGCGAGTTTTATTTCCAAGGGGTTAGCAGGTTACACCACCGAGCCGTGCGTCACGACGTGGGGGTGATCGATGAGAAATCGAATATTTGGAAATGTATCTCGAGAAGATATTTTCTCACGCACGTGAACGCCTGCTGTACAGAGCGGGGCGATAACTGTTACTCCGCCTTGAATATCTTCGGGGGAGGAAAATATTTTCTTAACTGCTAGATGAAGATGAACGAAATTTTATATTAACAGAAGATGCTCGAAGTGACGACCATTGGTATAAATGCAACTTCTGTCGAATAAATTTGTCCTCTACAACTATTGTAATGCTTGGATAAAAATACAAAAAAATATTATTTAACGTAAAGATATTTTTAGAAAGATATTATTTGAGAAAGCAAACAACGCTGCTTATTGAATTAAACATTCCATTATTTCCTCGAATCCCGAAGACAAATTTGTTTCAATTAGCGAAATTTTATTAAATCCAAAGAAATGTTACTCTCAAGTTTGAAGACAAATTTTAAATAGCTCCGCTCCGGAGCCCTCGAGTGCAAAGGGTTAATATACAATGAAATAAATTTTTTTTTTATTAAAAACCAAATATTATTTTCTTTAAATAATATCGTTTTTCTATCAAACAACATGGTTTATTCTGGAATAATAATAACGTTTTTATCTAAACAAAATGATATTTGATATTAAATTATGTTTATATTAAACAAACGCAAGTCAAACCTGTATGCTAAATCCAAAAAGAAACCTTTTTACCCTGTCACTCATACTTCGAAGATATGCAGGGTGGTAACGGTTGAATCCTATAAATTTTGATTAGGAAGACAAGAGTGAATCTCTCTTGCAACGGCACCAAAACAGATTCCAACTTGGGTGCGCTCCACAGCAGCGTTTAAAGACACGCGCGATAGTCCGGTAAAGCGGGCGCGATCCTTCCGGAGAGTGCTCGTATAAACAAACCGCGAGCGACTTCTTCTGGTACTCTTCAATCCCGCGATCCGACGATAAGTTATTCAAACGTCATATTTCAAGCAGCCGGCGCGTTCCAACGTAACGGTACGAATTTTCCTTCCGCTCTATAATAAGGCCCATCGTTCGCTCGCTCGCGCGCGACTCGTTCTCTTCGGACGTTCCGAGAACGGCGGCCCCGTAACGGCCGGTCGGTCGCGCCGTAACCGGCGAAGAAACCACCGTCGATTATTCTTCGACACCTGCGCCGCTCACGGACGGGCGAGGACCGCGTAATCACCAAGTGCCGTTTTCCAGCCGTAGCCGTGACCAGCAGCACCGTGCCCAGCAGCAGCTCGACGAGCACCGCGATTTTGGGCGGCGGAGCCGCCGGACTGCCGCCCCCGCCGCCGCCGCCGAGCGTCTACAAGGGCGGAGATCGAATCTACCCGGTGGGCAGCATTCATCATCATCACGATCATCATCAGCCGGTCACGGTGGCGCCGACCCTGCCTCACGTACCCCCGCCGGCCGTCTACCCCGCGCATCCGCATCAGCCGCAACTGCCGATTCACAATGGACCGCCGTCCTCCACGCCGCCCAAGACTTCGATCGGCCAGAAGAAGAAGAACAGTACGTACCGCGCCACGTCGTCACTTCGCCGTTGCGTCCAGTCTCTTTCTCTCTCTCTCTCTCTCTGTCTGCCTGCCTGCCTGCCTGCCCTTTCTGTCCGAACGAAATATTATCGCTCGAGAACGTTCCTTCGCGCTGCTTCTCTTTTGTTGCCTCTCTTATTATTTTTCGACCCGATCGCCGGGTCGCCGGTATCACCTCGCATCGATACCGGTCGAGATGTGTGGAGTCATCGGACAGTTTGTGGGAATTCGATTAGTCTGTCGTGGGTCTTCTTTTGCTTCGAGGAGGAGCACCTGGCGTAATTAAATCACGCACATCGGATGCCGCGCGAGGTATAGCACGCGGTAATCATCAACAGTCATTGCAGATCGACGTTAATTGACAGTTGGAGCATCGGCAATGTCCGTCGCGTCAGCCGCTTGCTCCTGACGCATTTACTCCGGGCTTCGTTCTATGACGGGCGAACCGTCTTCTATTATCTACGTAATGCTACGCGTTACCTACTCCTCGGGATCCGGGCTAAATTATAGTAGAAATGATAATGATCACCGTCGCCAGTTATTGGCCGGTCGTAAGTTCTATTCTACCGAATTATCATGCTTCGCTCATTCATTCCGGTTGACTATTTCATTCCGTGCAGCTAACGTGCCGTATCTTCGCTTTCTAATTTCTTTTTAATTTCCTTTCCATTCATGATAAAAGAGTCCACCTAATTGACTATTGTTGCGTTCAACTATAAATAGTCGTTCGAGTTGTGAGACATACCTAATACGAAGATTTTAATATATGATATTCTCGATTTCTAATTTCTCCCTAATTCCGTTCTAATTTTGTTCCAATTTCGTTTTAATCTTTCCTTCATTGATAGTAAGAGAGTTTGCCTAATTTATTATTGTTGGGTTTAACTGTAAATAACCGTTCGGATGCTGAGGTATATTTAACTAATACGAAGACCTCGTTTTTAACATATAATATTTTCGATTCCTAACTTCTTTATAATTTAATTCTAATTTCTTTTTCTTTTTCATTGAAAATGAAAGAGTTCGCTTATCGTTGCGTTTAACTATAAATAACCGTTTGAATTGTGAGACATATTCAACTTATGTACGAAAATCTAATAGTCTTTTTAATATATAATTAAAGCTCTGAGTTTCGCTCATTGACCCCCATTAAAAATCGCGCATATCTGTTCGAGATAAAAATCAGACCGGCGCACGTAAGGCTAAATATACGCTATAAAAACGCGTGAGTTTTCGTGTACGCCAGGTGGAGAGCCGGCGAAGCGTGGTGTCAAGATCTGATCAGATGAAAACTGACCGAAAGCCATCTGTCGATCTTGCATTGCTCGCCCTTCTTTACATCGACGTATACGATAATTTGACTTCTAAATGCGCTGCGTACGCGCGCATTTGCATTTCGCCGATAAGCCGCGCGGATAGCCGCTCAGCCATTAACGCGCCGTGTTTCCGAGACACGGCACGATAGGGAATACACGTTCCCGAGGTGTCGACTTGGAATTGCCAAGAATTTCGCCGCTTTCTCTCTCTCTCTCTCTCTCTCTTTCTCTTCTCTTCTCTTCTCTTGCTTTCTCCTCCGAGCACAATAATCGTTAAAATTTGAGATGCTAGCCGAACGTTCGCGGAAGGATATCCTCCGGCGAACCTCAACATTCTCAACATAATCCCCATTCACGAACTGATTTCTATTCAGACCTTGACATCGCGACGTTGCTCGAGAGCGATCTTCTCGGATGAAAGTATCTAAAATATTAGGAAAATGTCATTTCTACCTATCCTCTTTTTTGAAGTGTGACTTAAACCCGAACTAGATCGTGGCGCTAGATACCTATGAATTTTCCTTTTTCCCACCCTTCCATTTTCTTTCCAAAGAACCATCGTTTCTTTTTTTTTCACAGTTTAATCTTGAAACTTTAAAATACATGTCTGTTCTTTATAGCTGAACTGGCTGCACTAGCTTGCGCTAGTTCTCTTTCTTTTTTCACACGAAGTCACAGCTATTTGTATACTTGTTTCTTTTTAAGTTTCGAAAGTGTTTAGCAACAAAGAACGGACCTTATGTCGTCGAAGAGTGAGAACTCCGATGGCTGACTCTGATTTTCTCATTTTTCTCATTCGCAGAGGAGTACTCGGACCATCCGAACGAGGTGGTGAAGAACGAAGAGCTGACATACAACGGCGCGAGCTCGCAATTCCGGTACGCGCAGAGCATGATCCTGGCGACGGGCAGCGTGCTGGTGAGCGCGTTGCTGCTGCAGCTGCTGCGGTGAAGCGACAACGGCCACGTACGAGAACGTATATCCCATGCGTCGCAACCCCTTCTTCTGTGATTATCCTACGTTTAATTGATTTCTTGAGAGGCGCGCAACATGCGCGCCCCTCGGCCGTCCCTCGATCGTAAGACACGCACGATCCACGGTCGCGCCGACTCGAGAGAGAGTAGAGAAGAGAGAAGACAGTGGAGAAGAGATAGAGAAGAGGAGTGAATGAGAGAGAGAGAGGGGGGAGGGGGAGGAGAGAGAAAAAGGACGAAGGTCGGCGGCAAGCTAAAAAGACACGTCGAAAGAAAAAACACGCACGACACACGAGCGGCGCACGCCATATTAACTATTAACGAACCCGGAGAGTTCCCAGGGCGGAATGTCCGTAGGACGACGAAGACGACGCCGAGGGCGGGATGATAGGAAGGAGGAAGAGGGAGAGAAAGCGGAGAAAAAAGACGGAGATACGCTACTATTAGACACTACTTATAGTACACGCCCACTATTATCACTACTATAAATGGTAGTCGTATTGGTTGTCCTTCTTATCATTACGCTAACTGTAGGTATTTATTCGAATACGAGACGGGAGCGGGAGTCGTGGCAGCGTGCTAAGTATCCTCGAGCGAGAGGAGACGGTATGTACAAGAGAAAGAGATAGGAGGGACGTCTAAGCGCATATTAGTGGGCTACGCGAATCCGTCAGATCGCGTCTCTCTGATTCAAATGTCGCGAACCCTTCATTCGAGATGAGGAATATCGCGTGAGCTCGGCCATCGATGACGAACGGTCCTTCGTTAAGGGGTCCTCGCTCGGGGTCGGCGAGGAGAGAGACAGACACACATGCAGAGTATCGTTCCTCGCTTCGCGCGATCGTCCGAGCGCGCCGCGCGGCCTCGAGAAAAGAGTACCTGAAAATCATTTGAACGTTTTCGGCGGCGCGACCAGCGCGGTAGTAACCGATGAGTCCCGGGGGCGAGTTCCGGTCGCGGGTCATTCTCAAATCGCCGGTAGACCTCGTAGATTACTACACTTGGACTCGAAGTCGTCGGCGCGACGTAGTTCCTCGATGATCGGACGACGGCTCGCGGAGAGTCGCTGAAGAATTAGCATCGCGTCGTAATCGTATCTCTCGCGCGGAGCCAGGTCGGACGACCGAGAGCGGCCGGTCGCCCAATCGAAGGACGCCGAGGACGAAGGATCATTCGAGTTCGCGTGCGAGATCGTGAGTAGGATAGTTAGCACGCGTGTAAATAAATTCCTAATGAATATGTACAAGTGGCTCCGGGCCCGCCTCGGCGGCGAGGGGGGTCGAGGAGGTTTAAGAAAGAGTGCCGTATTTCTAGGTAAATCTTATACACACACACACACACACACACACACACACATATAAAAATATATATATATATATGTGAAATGAGAGAGCGCGTATGGATGTCAGAGCGAGAGAAAGCGTGTGCGTGTCGAGAGAGATGAGTGTGTTATGCGATCGCGACGACGACGTGACTTCGGCGCCCGCCCACGTGCTCGGCGGACAAAGCGTCGCGCGATCGCGCGACACGAGCTATGAACTCGTGCGGATTTCTGCCACTATGACAGTCTAATTATTGTCACGAATCAACGAGACTAGCGTGCGCCGTTGATTCGAACCCTGTTGGCCAGGAAAGGCAGCACGGCGAAAACGAGCGAGCGAGCGAGCGAGCGAGCGAGAGACTGAGTCGCGAAGCTAGTAAGACAGATGTGTATAATAGCTGTACCATACCGAGACTTCTATCTATAGATCTGTATTATATTTATTATCCGCTATTATTACGCTCTACGAATATTCAAACACTCGATATTCTATATTTGCTAGTGAAATATCAAATTTAATAGCGAACAAATTAACGTGAACCGCCAGGGGGGAGAAGAAGCGGCACGAACGACCCCCTCCCCCTCCCCGTGCAGCCCTTGTCGTTTGTTGTTTCCCCCAGTTGCTCGATTCCGTTCCGAATGTCAAGCGCGAATGGCGCGTCGATCCATCGTTATTAGCAGATCCAATCAATCAATCAATTGGCCATTCGATCGTGTTTCCGATTCATTGCCTTTGTGTTCCACGTTTCTTTGTTTATTATTTTATTTATTTTCGACTGCAAGGCAAAAGACTCGCGCGTGCCCGCGCGCGTACCATCGCACGCACGCGTGTACACGCGTTTCATGCATTCGCCGCGCGCCCCACGGGATTCATTTTTTTCACGCGGTATTTTCGTGTGCGTCGAACGTGCGTGAGATCGATCGCGCCGGGTACATCCCGCGGCTCTGTGTACGCGCGCGCGACGGCCCACGTGCACGCGTGCGCGCGGACTCGACACGCGAGAATAAAAAACGAAGCGGTGATTTTTCGTTCGTGTCGGTCACAAGGGAAAATCTCGAGCGCGACTGCACTAACGAATTATTGTAAATACGAAGTATCCCGCGGGAACCGAGTACCGTGGCGAGAGGAGGATGCGTGAATGAATGAATGAATGAATGAATGAGTATGTGCGTACGTGCATGTGTGCGTGCGAGAGAACGAGAGCGCGCGCGCGGGAGAGAGAGAGAGAGAGAGAGAGGACGGGAGAGATAATCCCCTATTTAGAATCTCGGATGGCGAAATGGGAGTCCTTGCGCGCGAAGGTCGCCCGCTGTATGGTTCGACTCGCTTTCGGAAGTTCATTCATGATTCATCGTCCCCTCACTTGCGTCGACCGCGAGAGCGAATGATTACGATCGGCCGAGAATCACGAACACGGCGGAAAGTCAGCGACGCCTGCATAATGTTATCCGCTGCAGTATTGTAAGCCTAAGTATCGCACGCCTCCGCCATCCACGTCGGTCCTGTCGTCCGTTCGTTCGCCTGTCTGTCATTTTGTATTCTCACTACTTGCGTCTCGCGCAATTACGAGCGAGCGAGCGAGCGTGCTCGATCCCGGCGCCAGCGAATCTTTCACGATTCCATCCGACGCAGGACGCGCGCTTTCTTAAACGTTAAATGACGTTCTTGAGTTGTTTTACTGACAAGACACGCGGATTTTCTCGTAATCTGGTCACACATATGATGGAACTGGGCACGTATTATGGACTATCGGAATCGCTCAATTATTCTATATGAAATACAAGAGAAGATCTAAGGAATAACTAAAAGATTCCGAACAAGTTCGTAATAGGTGCCCTGTTCAGGAAGATTTCCGATCGGAATCGTCCCTAAAAAACACAATAGAAATCTAAGGAATAATTGAGCGATTCCGACCGGAAAGCTTTTGCGAGTATTTCCATAATAGATGATGCCTAGGACTTGCTTGTGTTACGAGAATATTCATTGCCGATTTCCCTGGTTGAATCCTTCCGACAGAAACCTCATGACGTAGCTGTTGACAAATATATGCCAATCGCTACATCGACAATATCGATCACCGCGCGAATGGATACTTATCGTTAGTAATAATCGAGGTTATGCCGGGGGACTACCCATTGTCGTAACATTGCCTCCCCTCATTACTCCTCATATACCATCGATGATCATAAAGAATATTCTCGCAAGAAGATCATCGATGGTGCCTTCGGATATTTTCTCCGACCAGGGTAATCGGTAAAACCTAAAACTAATAGAAAAAAATTACGTATGTGACCTCAAGTTTCGTTTTGCGAATGAATACGCTCGCGTTGCATTACGTTTGCCGCGGACAATTGCGTCTTCAAGAATCGTATCACGAGATCGCCGGTTGCGAGAATTCGGGCAGATGATGAAATAGAAGTAGAAAGGTAAAATCCCAATCGATCAATCGCTCGCTCGTTCATTCGTGCGCAAATGAGCGACGTCGCAGTGACGCGCGCGTGGATTCAACAGTGAATAGCACTCACTCGCGCGGACGATAAGCGAATACACTATAACAATAATATAGTCTCGAACTATTCGATAGAAAATAGACAAGGTCACTCACTGCAAGTTCATTTCTTTTTATTTTCTTTCCCCGTTTCTTTCGTTACTTTTCTGTCGCCCATATCCGCATCTCCGCTAATCCACCCACCACGATCATCCATCGCCGTCGTGAGACGTGAGGCGTCCTGCCGCCTATGAGACAGAAAAAAAAATGAAGTATTTTTCTAACAACACAGATAGGACGCATCCGGTGGGTTTGTTTGTTCAGAGTTGTATGTAAATAGAGGGAGGGAGAGAGAGAGAAAGAGAAACGTATAACGTGTGCTCGCGCACACACGAAAATCTGTGCCGCCGTAACGAGTCAGATTCTATATGTCGTCCATGCGACCCGTGGACTTATTGATACGATTTACATGTGTAAATAAACGAACGTCCGATGTAGGATTACGGGGAGAAAAAAATGAGGTAAAAAAAGGAGAAGGGAAAGAAAGAGGAAAAAAGAACAGGATACGCTTCACGTCCATTCCGAGAGGAGACCTGAGTTTCCCCCGTCTGTCACGTCTGTCATTACGTTCGGTAACACGCCACTTAATTACGTAATCATCCCACTCGTGTGCGTGTGCAAGTACAGGGAAAAAGTTGCCCAACGAGAAGCGCGCGCGGGTGCCTCTCCCCGTCTCTTGAAAGGAGAAAGAAAGGGAACACGCGCGAGAGGCACCGTGCGCATTCTCACGCGCGTTTTTTTGAAAGGAAAAAGGAAACAGAGAAAATGAAAGAAAGAAAGACTTGTTCCTCTCTTCTCGAGATCGAGGGTAGTATATATTCGCCGCGCTGACGGTACACCCGGTCGCGATTTGATGAATGAATGAATTAACGTAAAATGAGAGCGAGGGTAAAGTGAATTTCGTAGAGGTACGTCTCTTGTAAATAAACAAATTAACAATTAATAACGCGGTAACACGATGAAATTTATATTAAATGCATAGTGAATAACGAGATAGGTTTCTAATAACGATTTATTATAAAAAAAAAAAAATGTGAATGTATGTTGATGTCTAAGATTTTTAACAAGATGGAGGACACAAAGCAGTTAATTGTAAACTACGATTAAATTATTCGTAACCGAGGAAATACACACGAGAGTAATTAAACAGGAAGCGTTCGAGTGCAAAGAGCGACACTTAGCCAGATCGTGATTTCTCACGTTGCATGTGTTATTTTGTAACCGGAGCGTACAGGATCCATACACTCTCGATGTCACGGCTAGCATATGCGGCGCTCCGCTCGATGAAATGATGGACCAGTCGACGGTACGCTTATCGGCTTGTTGTCTTCTCGATTTCCCTCATATTTTCTCTTGTTTCAAAGCAACTGCCGAAGAACACTAAATCCCGCAACGCGACTACGGATTATCGCATAACCGAATTCGCGGCTCGATTATAGCTGCGTCGTATATAACGTCGAGAATGAACAAGTTCACGACAGTTGTTGGAAATCGTCCGATACATTTCCGGCTGTAGACTCAATCGGAGAATCCATCGTCGGTGTTCGTTCAAGTCGAGAGAATACCGGTGTGCAGTCCGCACACGCGGTATAACTAATCAACGGGAAAGGATGAGAAACTGAAGTAACGCGGACTGGTTGATCCTTCCTCAGATTTCATCCCGACGTCGACCACGCTGTTTCGCTAACAAGATTCGTGAATTGCGTTAGTTTCAAATCTGGTCGCACACATACACACATATATAGTCCGGCGAATTTTCAGCGCAATTATCTGTCTCTCGTGACGCGCGTTACACGCTTTCGTTCGGGCACGATTATTTAACGGCGAGCGCGCGACGCAACCCATGAATAATGAAACGCGACGTAACACGCGTCCGTGATATCGGAATATTAATTAAAAATCCCCGTCTCGCCGGGCCGGTAAGGCTCGTTAACGAGCGCTCGTCGTTCTTGCGGCCGCGCCGCGTATGGTATCCTTGGAACGGGACCCTATAGATTGCGCGTGTTCACCAGTATGCACATTCAGTACCAGTACCAGTCGTTCATTACGAAGTATTACAATACAATACAAAGTAGTGTAGCGTTCATAACGGTAGTCCATTATAGCGAAATAGTATTTAAACAAGCAGCCACAGAAGACGAAAGAAAGGAAAAAAACAGGAAGAAAACTCATAATCCACCAAAAAAATAAGAAAGAGAGAAGAAATAGGAGAAGAAATTGTATGCAACAGTACGTGACAGTGCGCGTGAACGAATTTTTCACGAAAGAGAGAGAGAGAGAGAGAGAAAGATTGAGAAAGAATGAGGGAGAAAGACCATGAGACGCGCAGAGAAAACACGAAACACATTACCTAACATCACACGTGGAGGAAACACATAGGGAACTGTCGCGAGGAATTCTGTGCTGCGACGCAACGGGAAATCACACATATACGCGTGGTAGGTGAGAGAACGAGAGTGAGAGAGAATGAGAGAATGAAAATAGATGAAAGAGAGAGAGAGAGAGATTGTAAAATAGAAAACATGAGAAAAAGAGCGCGAAAGTAAGGCGAAGCACACGATGTATCTAAAAGAAAAAACAAAAAAATGCTACTTGTTCATGTAAACGCGATGTGCACGCCACGCGTGCAAGATGCGTGTGAGAGAGAGAGAGAGAGAGAGAGAGAAAGAGCGAAAACAGATAGGGAGGCGGGCAAGATGTACGTGGTCCTATGCGTAAGCGTAGGCTCGTCGGTGTTACACAATTTATGTAAGTATATTCTATATGTATGTCGATATATAGCGAAGTATATCGATGGCAAACGAAAGTAATGTAAAAAGAAAAAATGAAGCGAGAGAGAGAGAGAGAGAAAGAAAGAAAAAGAAGAAGAAACGCGTGCATCGGGCCGGGGAAAATCAGCCGCATCGTATTTTGTTGTTCCGAAGTACCTTGGCGCGAATCGTCTCTGTTTGTCGAGGAAGTCCGGAAGCGAGGATCAGGACAGCGGATGGTAGCTCCGTCCTTCCGAGAACAACGTCAATCGCGTCCGATCGATTTCTTATCGCCTTTCAGGAATTTGTACCCATCTCCCAGTGAGAAATGAACATCGAATCAACGTCAAATTAATGTCAAATCAATGTCGATACGATGTAATTTCGATTGTTTCGACATGAAATCGACGTCGATTTAACGTCGATTCAATAGTTCGTTTCTCGCTGGGTCGTTTTTTCTGAACATTTCTGAAGAATGACGCTTTCGATGTCGACGCAACGAATATTCAAGTATCAATCTAAAATCATACGGAGCTCTAAGCCACGAGTAACGACTTTCTTGGTTAATATTCATGTATAGATGTTCACAATTTCTTTCCACGTGTGCACGTGCGCCGATTACTTCCACACAGTTCAGGATGGATTGATAGTGCTCGCGCTTCGGAAGGCGAACCGTCCCGCTCGATGATCCTGCTGTTAGTACAAAGAAGCTGGTCGAGATGCGCGAGATACGTACGATCTGCTCCACTCGTGTCGTATAAATCGCGGACGAATAACAGCGTATGTATAACAGTGCTAGCCTAGGCTCGTCACTTCGGTAATGCAAGTTCTCTAGTCTGCTCTTCGACTCTAAGTCGGTCGGGAATTGTCTTAAATTTCTGCGAGAGGAAGTTCATGTTTCATGAGGCATATAAATTCTATCGTAACACACAAATAAGAGACAGACGTTGTTGCATAAGAAAGAACATCACGTCGTATAGGTAGAGTGATTTCTGTTATAAACTCAATTACTTTAACTATACGTACATTTACTTAACTATACATATCGGTCTCGGAAAATCTCGCGCGACACTCCGACGGAAGGAGTACGGAAATATTGAGGCTCTTGTTGACCTAAAAGTCGTTCCTACGCACTTGTCCTCTTCTTATTTTAATCGAGCGAATCTTAAGCAAGTTTCAATTAAATATGTTCAAATCGAGCTTGATTTTTACGCGCGTGTAGCATGAGGAGAGGGGCCTAAGAGATCTTCGCACCTGAAAGGAATATTTCGAATTAAAATTCGAGATATCTGCGTATCTCTATTATTGTTGCTGAATCTGACATTAGAGGAACATTTATTACCGAGAGCTCAAACGATTTTGTATCCGGCAGTGCGAATGCAGTATGTATTTTTCATTCGTACATCATACGAACCATAATCGACTGCCCGACTGACAATTACCCGTATGACACAAAAAGAGCTATTCCCGGAAATAAACTGCCACATACGACCGTTGTCGTCAATTTGTAATGCAACGTTAAATATATCCGCTTGCGAGTAATCAGGCGAAGCAAGAAATAATAATCCCGATGAAAAGGCCAGTAATTTTTCAGCGCGTCCCGTAAATAACAAACGACGTCTCGACGCTATTCAGCGCGCTGATACCGCGTGCGTTCTATAAACAACGAATTGTTCATTGACGAGCCACTTGTTTCCCCTGGAGGCGGATTTTATATATTCAAGCGTTACGGTAATCTATCGTGATGATCTATTGAGAAGCGCGATATAATGTCGGTGTAATTTTAAGTTCACCCTGATAGAATCTTAGGAGTATCCGCCGACGAATATATTTCGCACACATGTGTAAAACTACTTGGGTTCACAGTCGATGATCGATTCGATATCGATGATTGATTTTTTGGATTATTCGATTTGACAACTACTAATTTTTCTTTGATGTAAAAGAAGATCGGCGCTACGATTGGCGATCTTACAGATCCTCGTGACCTTCTGTTAATATTTAGCTATGTGGTATGTAAAAGACATCATATAGGTGTCAACCAATTATTGAAGATCCTATTGATATCATATCCAGATCGAATCGTTATTCTATATAACATCAACTTGATATGGATATGATATAAACTAGTAAGCAAGTAATTATTAACACAACATCATTACAATGATATTTTATGACATGTAATCTTTTCAAATATGTAATTCTTCATGTTGTATACCATATTATTGTTAACGAATTCAAAAGATTGATTTAATATTTGCTTACTGGATATCTTCTAGATATCGTGAAGTCTTACAAATATCAAGTCGAACATTAATTTACGCATGATTTCGATCAGATTTTTCATCGACATGTGAATCCGGACACCGTCGCCTTCTACTTTCCTTTACACGAACATGCTTAGGCGAGACTCGCTTTTTTTGTGGTAATGTAATCGACTGATGTCAATCGAGCATAAATTATTATCACTTGACTGCTGATGTAAAATGTCTATCGACTGTCACGTAAGAATTTGTGCGATAAGCAAAAGAGCTACCACGGCCGCGTAACATGCGCTCTTCTGCGTGTAATAGTTTAGTTTATCGTGTTTTGCGTTGCACGTGTAATTTAATCGCAATTATACTCACGCAGAGTTATGTTGCCACGTCTGTTCGATAATTTCTAGGTCGACGAACGCGCACGAATGTTATATCTCTTCTAACGCCGATCCATATCTAACATACAACGAGCGTCGAACGCATCAAAGAGACGCGTTTTTCCTCGAGATCATTGTAATCACGTTTTCTTTTTGCGACGACGTCGGAGAATTGTCCGAGCTATGTATATGCGCGTATATCGAGGAGACTTGGGCGATAAAATATTTCGTGAATCCAACACCCTGGCTAAATGTTGGGTAACATTTAACCAACTAAACTGTGCTGCTTTCCAAGTAAACAAGAAATCATTAACACGACGTTGTTTCAGTGATATTTTATAACGTTTTTAAATATGTAATTTTTAATCTTGTGTACAACGTCATTGTTAACAATATTTGGCCCAAACGTTGAAAATAATATTTCACTATGATTTTCATATTTAGGAATATCATATTACCTAGTAAGTAACAGTTAAAAATAAGCAACAGTTTGGAACATTTACAAAATGTTTGTAATATATTCACATAAAATCAATGTTTCAAAAGATTGATTTAATGTTTCTTGCTTACTGGGTTGGATAATAATAAGAAAGAAAAAGAAGAAGTCGCTCTCTTGATTCGATTGTTGTGCAATAAAGTGACGACGCATCTCGATCGTGAAATGATACGAAAGAACAAATGAGACCGAAACCGTAACCAGTAAAATAGGTGATTTGCCGAACAGGAGAAGCGCGAAATAACACCCCAGGTAGAACAGAAAATGACGATGACGTCAAAATGACGAGGAAATGATCGAAAAATGAGTTTCGATAATCATTTCGCTGTCATCGTGGCTTTCTGTTCTACCTGGGGCACGCCCAACTCCGCCTCGAGCGCTGGAAAAAGAGCGTTGTCAGATTCTTGTCAGCGGTCCTGTCGAACGCGAGACTCGTTTATTATTAGATTAAAAAGCGTCGATACTTTGATCAATCTGGCTGGTTTCCAAGATGAGAGAACTTACTGGGGAAAGTTCGGCTGATGTGATCAGCTGGGCACACGAAGGGACGTACGGCCTCTGAGAAATAGAAAAGAAGCGCGCCGATTTACACACACCGGCTGCCTCAAAGGCCGGTGACGAATTCAACGTCATTGTCATGCGAATGGAAAGAAGAACGGGAGGCGTGGAGAGAGAAAGAAACAAACGAGACCCGCTGAGAAAGCTTTGGAGTCCGCGTCGTGGAAATTGGCTTGCGGAGGAACAGGGAGAGATTCGATCGAGCGTATCCGCGAAAGACGATGTCGCTTGAGGACCTCGGGGAGAAAAGGAGACAACGCACCGAACAGCACTCTCACGGCCTGCAGAAAGATAGCGAACCACGGTGAAAAAAAGAGAAAGAAAGAGAGAGAGGAAAAAAAGGGAGAAATGACACGACGAAAGGGTGGTGTGCGCCCAACCCCACCATAAGGAAGGCCTATATATCGCACTCGTTTGAAAACTTATCGCAAGAATGCACAAGAAGTAGCGTACACTCGCTGTACTGTTTGTTGACTCGAATAAATATGCGGATTAAAAAGTCGGTTTGGTTTATATGTACACGGTGAGAGCCCAGGATTCGCGCGGGCGGAACGCTGGCGATCGCCCGGGGGATCGGGAGCCGGGAAGTCGTTTCCCTGTCGCCGGTACGACGCGCGCATGTCCCGTTTTTACGTGATGGATATTTCGCTGGGGAATTCGATTCGAACGACGAAAACCGTGGGGAAACGACTCGCGGACGAACGCGAGCGTTCCATTACGACGATATTGTTATTATACGAACGTACTCAAGACGGCATGGTATACAAAACTAAGAACAAGACCTAAAATAGGAACATAATATTTTATAACTCAACTTTTGTACAGAATAAATAAATACTTGTACTGTGGACCAATATTTCTTTCATTTCATTCACATCACAGCACACCATCGTCATCGTCGTTTTCAACGTGGCCGAAAAGACGAACTTCTTGTATATTTGTTATTTATTAAAAAATATATATACATAACGATCTTAACTCAATTATTTATATTTCTCATTATGTATTAATGGTATAACGACAATACAATTTTTCGCGCTTGCTATTCGCCACCAACTACCGTTTTTGTGTTCCTTACCGATACCGGCAATAAGGTGATTTCCGTCGGGTGTGAAAGCGAGTGCGTTTATGAAACCTGGCACTTCAACTTCGAACAGCAGATTTAATGATTTAAATCCTTCCCCGCACTGCCACAATTTAATGCTGCCATTTTGCGAGCCTGAAAGTCATAAACAATATTGGAGAACATTATAAACAATATTGAAGAAAAATGCAGATAATCAGGGGATAATCGAGATTAGGTGTTCAGCCAAACCCGAAAAAAATTCCCCGAGCTTCCGGGCAATTGTTAAAAATTTCAGATAAAATTTAAATATTCTTAAATATATCTTGCAAATAAATATGTATTTATTGTGCAGTCTTTAATATTTTCCATTCAAAAGTTTATAAATCATAAAATAAAATTAAGAATTACTTGAGTTTCAATGATCATATTTGATAAATTTTGAAAGAAATTTTGAAAGAAATTTTGAAAGACTGTAGAAACTAAAAAAAAAATAAATATTATATAACATATTATATAACAATTATATAACATAAAATTAAAAAAATTTATTTGCGAAAGTTACTAACAAAAAATTATGTAAAATTATATATAATATAATAATACATAACTGGTACAAAATACAATTTTTATAAATCTATTAAACATTTGTCTTAATTAAACAAATTCTCTGAAAATTTCAAGTTTTGTCAGACACCCTGTTAATATCTATATTTATACTATACATTAATAAACGTTAATATCTACAATATACTAAAAGATCTATACTGTCTATATAATTACGTACCTGATGCCACTAAATCTGTATTTAATAACGCCGCAATACTTGAAATCCACAGCGGTTGGTTATTAGTTTTATCCTTTCCGTGTGCCTCCGTTACCAAGCACAATGGCTTCTTTTTCAAAGAACTCCAGACGCAGAGTTGTCCATCGTTGCTACAGCTGAAGAAATTTTCGTCATTAATAAGTTTAACCTCGTCGATAGGATTATCGTTATGTCCGTGGAATATCAACTGCGACTCCTCGACTATTTTCCATATCCTAATACTACTGTCAAAACCTCCGCTCGTGATAGCACGTTCTCGCGAAAGCGCGTCGATAGACGTGATGCCAGTTTGATGTCCAAAGCTATAAAGAGAACATAATGATTAGTGAGAGGTAATATGGAAAAATAAATGATGAAAAATAATGATGTCTAATGCGTGCAATCATGTTAGCGAAATCACTCACAAAGTTTCAACATAAGCCATTTCATCCAGATTCCAAACTTTTACACTCCTATCGGTGGAAGCGGAGTACAAAGTGTGAGTGTTTTTGCGGAATACTAATCCAGACACTGAACCTCTGTGACCTTGTAGATTTTTTATATGTTTCAGAGTATCGCCACAAAGTATTTTTATATCATTACAGCGTTTGTCTCCCACAACCTACAATGAAGAGAATTTTTACATGTTAACCTGTTGCACACGATGTGAAATAAAGGATAACTTTTACTTGAACTTACCAGAAACTTTCCATCTGTGCTAATTGCTAAACATTGTACGTAACAACTTAAAGTGACTTCTGTCTTCCCTTTTCTACCTTTAAGGGCTATTAATTTAGTATTTGTCTTTAATGACCCTAGAAATAGCATTAATTAAATTCAAAAGATATGAACACATGTATAATTTATTGATATTATTAGAAAATGAAATAGTTGTCTTAAATATCTTTTCTATCTACTTAATTCTCTTATATAGATGAACTTATATAAATCCATAAATTTACATTTAACTATACTCCCATCTTTAGCTCCTGAGTACAATACACTTCCATCAGTTGAAAGACAAATACAGGTGATAGGCAATTTATGCTGTTTACATTTTAATGAAATAAGATCTTTGTGGCCAACATAATTTGCTGCTATAGTTTTCCTTAATCGACCTTTCTCTTCTAAATATTCTTCACGTAGCCTCCGTGAAACTGCACCTTCTTCATATTCTTCTCTATCCTTTTCTGTAACATAGAAAATAATCTTAATACATAAATGTTACTCAATAAAGGACCTATGAGACAATTAGAGCCAGTGCACAAAATCCATAGTGCAATTATTTTAAAGCAGCAAGACTATATTCAAGTCAAAGTAATTTTAATAAATCTTAGTGCATTAAAACCAAACATTTCGGTCCTTGTCTAAACCCTCCTCAGTGGTACACAATCTCACAGTGTCAATGTCGCGGTACAAACATAAAAAAACCGTTATTATTTGAAAATCAGCAAAAGTCAAGTAAATATTCAGGCGTAACACTATCAAGATATTCAAAATCAGCGTAAATTATGACCAAAAACACAGCAGTCAACCTCGTCCAGACCACCAACGTAAACCACTACTTTAGAAATACGATGCATCTCCCCTTTGCAATATTTGGTTTTAATTATTTTAATATAGTAAGATTAATTCAATTAATTAATTTTATTAAGAATATAATCTTGTTATCTTAAAGTAATTTCATATACTATGAATTCTGACATATTAGTTTTCTATATATTAGTTTTAATTAATCCATAAGTTCTTTCTATTGATTGGATATCAACAAAACTTTGACGTTTGTTTTATTATTCTTTTCAAAATATTGTAAATAAACTATAAAAATATTCTATTCGCCTTACCTTTTCTTTCAATTGCTTCTATATATTTTTTTGCAAGTCTTATACGTTTTTCTTGTGCAGTTTCTTCTTCTTCCTCACTCTCGCTTTCAAATCTTTTAGCTTTATCTCTGTAAGATAAAATTGTTATCTCTTTTATTGAATATCATTATCTATGTATATTTTTAACATATTCAATTATCAATTAGATGCATCATATACTTACTTTAAATTTTTTTCTGCAAACTCTTCATCTGTACTCGCGATACTTTCATCATCATCAGGTATAGACTTCTTTGCAATTTTCTTTGATTGTTTCGACATAGATGGACCACCATTGAACTAATAAAAATATTATAAAATATTTAAAAATCTACCTTATTACTTTACATGAAATATAATTTTTATTTTCAAAGCTAATAAAAATAGAAAAAATACCAAACATCATGCTACTTTGTACAAACTTAATTCTAACCTGCAGGTAGAGAAGGGCGCTATATTTTCTTTTAAAAAGGAAAAAATATTAAATTTTTACCTTACGTTTTACTCTTCCACCTCCCCGATTATTTTTTATAAAAAACGACATGATAAAAATGAAAAATAAACGAAATTAATACAGAGTTTTACTAGCAATCCTTAATCAGTCAAACCACATGGCACAAGCGATTGTGTTCAATAGATGCAGAATACACACAAACTCACTTTCGAAAAATAAATCATCTCATTGGACCATCGGCTGCGTCCTGAGATCCGACTCCAACGGACGACTATTCTAGAACAGGCTTAAGGCTGGTACACACGTCATATGACGAGCATTGTCGGATGTGCTGATTGGCTGTTGGATAGAGAATTTCCTAGGGTCCTTCAATTTTTCTCTAAACATGCGCTCAGTTCCACTTATTCGTCCCGAACTAGATTTAGTGGATCAAGCTTATATATTGGCTACCTTGTTCTATCCAACAGAATCATACATAGGAACCGCATTATTCAGTGAAAATACAGCGCGAAGTATGAAGTACTTACTTTTCCCTGTTAAAAATTGCTATTAATACATACATTATGGAACCTTGTATATGGCTCCTATGTCATTATTCTGTTGGATAAAACAGGATATCCAACATATGGGCCCGTATTCATTCATTCATAATTAGTTTGACATGGAACCATTCATCTTAATCTTTTTTCTCATGATTTTGTTAATGTTAATTTTACGATTATTTATTGTTTGTTTGAATAAAAGAAAAGTGTACGGACAATTTTACAAGTGTACTGAATCGATCACAAGTGTCATTTTATGAGTATATCTTTTTATTTGAACATAAAACGCAAGAATTATTGACATGCGTCTTCTCGCTTCTGACGTCATCAAACAAGGATAGTTGCAGCGAGGGACCAGGAGCCTTAAATACAATGTCCGGTCTTTAAAAATTAGAAGTAATCGGGATCTATTAAACGTACCTCTTCCCCACGAATCTATTTCAGCGTTCGCTCTTGTAGAACATCGCGTTAGTGTAAGCATAGTAACCGCAATAGACTTTACTCACTGTCAGTAACAACTTTACTTTAGTTAAAAAAATATAAATATAAAAATATAAAATATAATATAATAAAATATATAAATATAAACATATAAAAGAATGGATTCGTACGATGAACATGACGGAATTTTACGTAAGCTTAATCCCTTGCCCGATTCTCTCTGGCCTTATCTAATAAGCTTGTGTGTTGGATTAATCACTGTGATAAGGTGTGTACATGCGTTGTGATGAGCATGAAATTATAAAGTTAATTAATATAAAATTATATGTGTGTGTGTGTGTGTGTGTGTGTGTTATTTCATATGGTAATTTTGTATTAATTAACTTTATTATTTAATATTTGAATAAAATGTTTTATTCAAACTTCCCATACAATTAATACAAATAATACAATTAATGGTTTTTCTTAAATGAAATCACATTTTTATTATTTATAAAAAATATGTTTTATAAATAATTTTGTATGTTTAGTTTAATCTTTCTCATATCTAATTTTCTTAGATATTTGAATATTTTACAAAATATTTAATATCTATATTGCACAAAATATTTTATAAATTTTGTGTGCTATTTGGGTTAATATATTTTGTGCGATATAGACGTTAAATATAGACATTAAATATTTCGTAAATATCCAAATATCTAAAAAAATTATATATGAGAAAAATTAAAATAAACATACAAAAATATTTATGAAACATATTTTTTATAAATAATAAAAACGTGGTTTCATTTAAAGAAAACCATTAATTGTATTATTTGTATTAATTGTATGGGAAGTTTGAGTAAAAAATTAAATTCAAATATTTATTTGAAAAAAGTTAAATACGAGACACAAAGTAAAAATACATCAAGGACTACATTGGACATCTTGAAATTGCATAAAAAATAATATATAATTTTAGAATGTATATGGGCGGTTCTATGTGTCCGAGTGACGATCGCATCGATGATAAGGTCGTAATCGTCACCGGCGCTTCCAGTGGAATCGGCAAAGAAATCGCCTTAGAATTGGGTCGCAGAGGTGGTCGTATTATCTTAGCCGTAAGAGATGTGGCAGCCGGAGAAAAAGTGGCGTGTCAAATCCGAGATGTGTCCGGACAAAATGCGGAAGTTAAGGCGATCGATCTCTCCTCGCTGAAGAACGTACAGAGTTTTGTCGACCAGTTGGGTATAAGAGAAAGAGAGAGGTGTTTAAATGTATTCAAATATTAATATCGTCCACCGATATAACACTTGACATTACCGTCTTGTACAGGCGTGGAAAAAATAGACATACTGGTGAACAATGCTGGAATTGTTTTCCATCCGTTCGAAAAAACTACAGAAGGATTCGAAATGCATTTTGTAACGAATTATCTGGGTAAGCTACACACAACATCGATGTTACATTCAATATAATCTCTGCAAATATGAACATGATAATAATATTATATTGATATTTCAAATTACTGGTCTATTAATAATAAAGTAATACTAATATATCAATATGTATATGATGTATTAATAATAATAAACTCGAGAGAAACTTCTCTTGAAATATATGGAGAATATCTTCAGAGATATTGTATAATCCTTCTTTCAGGTCATTTCTTACTTACTCAATTACTCTTACCGAAACTACGTGCAGCTAGACAAAGCAGGATAATAAACGTTTCCTCACAAGCGCACACTATCAGTATTGTGCACCTGGAGGATTTGAATTTGGAACGAAACTTTACTGCGAGGGAAGCTTTCGGTCAAAGCAAACTGGCGTTAATCTTGATGGCGAGACACATGAGCAAATTATTGAGAGGTGACACCAAACACGATCGTGTTTGATAGAAATGACGAAATAATAATTAATTCGTTCCAACACGTAGACACGGATGTCACGATTAACACTGTAAATCCCGGCATTGTGAGAGGCACGAGGCACATGCGATATTCGCCATTAAATTCGACATTCTTGATCAAACTGATAATGCAGCCGTGGATGTGGTTATTCCTAAAAAGTGCCGTTCAAGGTGCCCAAACTGCCGTTTACGTGGCTGTGAATAGAGAATTAAGGGAACATTCTGGGAAATATTTCAGGTAAATTCATGTGCTATTCAAAATACAATTAAGAGAAAGAATTGATTTTTCATGATCTTTACTCAGTGATTGCCAAGTGCAGACACCGTCGGTCAGTGCTGTCGACGATATAATGGCGGAAGAACTGTATACCAAGTCTTTTATATTAGTGAAACCTTATGTGCACGAATCTCCAATTAATCATGAAGAATGATTATAAGACATATATCTCGCTCTACATTCTATACATTATCAGCACATAAATTAGCTATATAAACATTTTAAATATTTTACGAAATAAGTGATAAATTCGAGGAATAAAATTAAAGGGTATATCGGAACTTAAATTTTATATATGTATATATATGTATATATTTAAAATGGAACTACAATTTAACAGATGTGTATGTCTTTACTATACGCACGTAATTATGTAATATTTAGCTTCGTCCATGACTCACTGACTTTCCACAACCATTTCGCCAGATCTTTATTCTTGCCACTCTCCGCCACTTCTGCGATTGAGAAGTCGCTACTGCAAGCAAAATAATGAAGTATCATATTCGTAATTTGATTATTATTTAACTTAGTTAAATTCTTCTGAATACTAACTCGATGTAACTGCCAGAAGAATCCGCAATGCTAGGTTCCAATGCTGTATATAAAACGGTTTGTGCCCCTTGGTCAGGCGATTTGATAAACGGCCAAGCGAAGGGTTTCAGAAATATTTTTGTGAAAATGTTGGTCAGTGAAGGCATATGTTGAATTATTTCCGTATCGACTACACCAGGATGGACAGCATATACGCTAACACCGGTTCCTGAGAATAGCATTGAAAGGTGAAAAGCATCTTAGTTACAGTAATAAGTTGATTGGTTACAATAAGTTAATATGTAGAATATGTTAATATGTAGAAATAAAAGAGTAGTTAAAATATAAAGGTAAAAATTATGCAATTATTGTTGAATTACCTTTCAATCTGTCTGCTAACTCCTTAGTAAAAAGCACAATGGCCAATTTACTCTGCGAGTAAGCCCTGCCAGGATCATATACAATGTCACTATTTAAATCCTTCATGTTTATCTCACCTGCCTGATGAGCAGCGCTTGACAAATTTACAATTCTAGATGGTGCAGACTTTTTCAGGACATCTAGGAGTAAATTCGTGAGCAAAAAGTGTCCGATATGATTCACTCCAAGTTGCATCTCAATACCTTCCTTGGTATAACTTTTGGGGCATCTCATTATACCAGCATTGTTAATAAGTATATGAAGTTGATCAAATTCTATAATGTATGTGAAACATAATTACAGATAAACATTACATATAAATATCTATAAGTATATAAGAAGAAAGCTTATAGATTAGTATATTTATAGATGACATTTACCTCTTTGAAATCGTTCAGCAAATTTCCTAATACTTTCTTGAGATGCTAAGTCACATCTTCTACAATAAATATACTTGTTTCTTGTGTGAATTACGATATTTCGACGTGCCTGTTTAAAAATAAAATCAATCGATACAAAATTATTATAAAACAGTAATTTATAACAATAACGGATACAAGAATATCATACATTCATGTTACATTCTTGAATTTAGACAGACCGATTTGTAAGCTAGATACTAGCTACAATATATATACCTCTTCACATTTCTTCATATCCCTGCATGCCATGACAACTTTAGCCTTACACCTGGCCATTTCTTTAACTGTGTAATATCCAATACCAGTATTAGCTCCAGTCACAATGACAGTTTTGCCATCCAACTTTTTCTCTCCCTCGTATTTTGGACCTCCCATGTAACTTCTGCAACATCAATATGATCACTTTTAACATTTGCAACAGAAAAATAAAACATCCAGAAAAATATGCTATATACCGGCGAAACGTTATCACTAGAATTATACATATTACATGTAACACATGAGAGAAAGATTCAAAAAATATTCCTGCAGTTTACATTTTTTAATACTGCAATGTCAGATTGTCGTCAATATTCATGTCAAAATGCGAAAACAAAGAAAGAGAAAATTAGTAATAGTACTATGAAATCGAAAAGGGTTCGAGTTCAATATTACTTTGTCAGGAATGCCACGCAGACGGTAGTCGTCCCAGCAGCAATGTAAAAAAGACGTTTCTTCCAATGCATTATTCCTGAATTACTGTCTCGAATCCAATAATTAGTAAGCAATAGTTGTTAGATGATGTAATTCGGCAATATACGAGTGTAACGAAGATTACAACCAAGCCGTAATACACGTGCAAATCGGTATGTTCGAGAACGATACGTAGGGTCGATCTACTTGAAGTTGCAAACGTTTTCAAGAATATGATTGGTCTGTACGGTGCTTCGAAGCATTTGCAACACGAAGTGAATCCTATTCCCGTAATGTGTTCGGACCATAGGCGTATAATAATTAGACCGTTCGGTCTCAACATTTCCCTTTGCTCGAACATGTCAGAAAATAAAAAGAGATAGTTGCTGTACGGGTACCATTCCGTCTTTTTTTAAAAACGTTAGTAGGGGTAAAGAATCCTTCCATAGGACAGATTCCATTTAACGCTCGCAACGACGCGAGCATCATTCTATCTTTATTCAACATCCAATGAGAAACAAAGGTAGAATGACTCTCGTGTCGTTACGAGCGTTAGGCCTGTTTTACAATACGTCGTATGCCGGAGTCGGATGTCGGAACGCAGCCGATGGTCCAATGAGAGAATTTATTTTTCAGAAGTGAGTTCTCGTTGAAGCATCGACCACGCATCCGACAGCGACATACATAGAGATATAAGAATAGAGGGAACAAGCATAGAGATATAAGAGTAGAGGGAACAAGCCTGTAAGTGGAAGTCATAGAGGCAAAGAGAGAGATGGATGCCCTATCTGTCTCTTTCTAGTCACGCGCTGGGATTGGCTGCCGCGCCAACGACGATATAGCTATACATTTTTCTCCATCCAATTCAAAGAAACTGTCATTGCTAAAATGCTCACTGCAAATATATGCTGTTTTCACTTAAAAATACAAAGGTAGTTGAAGTATATTCAACCATTTACGCCTTATATCTACATCCTTCGGTAGCCTACAACATTTACATATTTTTTTAGATGTAGGAAAATATAACATATAATTATTTGAGGTTATGTATTTGTACTTTCTTACGAGTGAAAACTGCGGTTACATCCAGGATAAGACTCCGCCTTGCATTTCAAACAATGCCTCATTTTTAAACAAATCGCGTCCAATTATTATTTTGTTAACGTTCGAATATTTAACGAATTTTAATTCTACACACATGTGCACGCATATTTACAAAACGAAATTTTAGTCTGCTTTCTCCCCTCCTGACGTCGCGTGGTCGTCTTGGCGGCTCATTGTAACAACCAATCACAGCGCTCGACTAGAAAGAGACAGATAGGACACTCGGCATCCATCTCTCTCTTGACCTCTATCACTTCCACTTACAGGTAGCATATATCCCTTGTTTCCTCTATTCTTATATCTCTATGGCGACATACGACGTATTGTAGAACAGAATTAAAATGGAACGCGCCTTTAACGAGGCTGAAATTCTCACTCCATAGATGAAGACAGATGGTACCTGTACAGCAACTATCTCTTTCTAATATTTCACGACTATATAATAAGGAATAAATTGACGAAATTTTCGTTCGACTCGCACTTTTATCTGGTCAATCTGTATTCCTCGAGACAACATTTGAATAAGCATGATGAACTTTTCAAGGTATATTAATTTAATACTTAATTAAGCTTAAAAAATTAGATTTAGAACAATATGAATCTGAGGAGTCTCTTGCCTATTCCTTTTTTATTAAAAAAAAAATATATATATATATATATATAAACGATAGATAAACTATTCGAGTTAAACTAACTCGATGGAGTAATTTAAGAATTAATGTTATTGATACCGATGTTAAAAATAAATTCGCATATCGATCGTAACAAACGTCTGTTGCAATTGCGCAGATGTTACTACTTTGATCATTTGTCGATCCACGTCGTTTAGACGCGGATTTGACAAGTGTGGTTAACATCTGTTTGAATTAAATACCTCATGCCGCGCGTTGTTTTTGTGCCACAGCAAAACCGTCAAACGTTGAGAGTTATGACGCCCGAGTGCATTGCGTGAACGTTCCCGGGAGAAACATTGTGCGTAAATTAATATCATTACGACAAATATTAGCTCAACTTGCAATCGTATAGTTCACGATCAGGTATCGTTGAGAAAAACGATAAATAAAATGTGCTAACGACATTCCTAACTGATTCACATTAATGACTCACTGACTTGATAACGTTGTACTTGTACACATTTTACTGACAATATAAAGTGCTAGTGAATTTATAAAAAAAACTTAATGTTTTATTGCGATTTCTTTGATGATTAATAATTCCTTTCGTTCAAGAGCTATTCAGTAGCATACATTTTTAAGGCTATAATTTATAAATTGTGAACTAATTCACATATAACGTTATTTATTCATCATTGTAGTGCAATTATAAGTGTAATTTAGTGTATAATAATGATAAAATAAGTTTATCAGAGTTTTAAGACCTCTCTTGACAAGCTTGCATTATCGCATATTGCATATACATAAAGAAATTAATCAGTCATGATCTGCATGGAAAAAGGATGTCTTCTATATTAAACATGATTGGTCAATTTTCTTCTTATATATTTATTATTATATTGCTAAATATTCTTCATGATTATACAAAGTGATATATTTTTTTATTTTCCTCGTTTTCTTTTTATTATGCCATTTTTAGAGCAATGGTGGAGACTGCCTATGATCCTACGTTTGAGAGACACTTTAAAGGTCATAAGGATGGAGTTACAGCTTTATCTTTTCATCCAAATGCCATTCAGCTTGTGTCAAGTAGTCTGGATAAAACATTATTGGTATGGAATCTGACACAATCAGTGCGAGCTTACAGATTTATAGCTCACAATGACAGTATTTTGGATGTGTGTTATGCGCCATCCGGTGAAGTCATAGCCAGTGCTTCGAGAGACAGATCTGTGAGAATTTGGGTTCCTAAAGTAACAGGGCAATCGATAGACTTTAAAGCTCATAGCTTTGCTGTGAGATCTGTACAATTTAGTCCAGATGGAGAAAAGGTAATTTTTATTTCTAATAAATTATCAGTTAATTTGTAATTATTAAATTGTCGGTTAATTTGTAGGGTTTGCAATGATATCTGAAAAAATTGTTACTCAATATTTTCAGTTGCTCACTGCATCAGATGATAAGAGCATAAAGCTGTGGATGGTGTGTCAGAGGAGATTTCTCACGTCGTTCAGTGGACATACAAATTGGGTCCGGTGTGCCAAATTTTCTCCAGATGGTAGACTCTTGGTATCCTGCAGCGACGATAAAACGATAAAAGTGTGGGATATTACTAGCGGACAATGTGTTAAAACCTTCAACGAGATAAAAGGTTCGTTAAGTACACAAAATTTTGTCTTCTAGATTTAAAGTAAAACTTTGTTTTTTAGGCCCTGCAACATACGTAGAGTTTCATCCGAGCGGTGCAGCTATCGGATCGGCGAATATGGATGCTTGTGTTAAATTATACGACTTAAGAACAGGATCTTTGTATCAGTATTACGCCGCCCATAAAGGGCCTGTACATATGATTAAGTTCCATCCGAAGGGAAATTTCATGTTAACAGCTTCCAGCGACTCTACGATGAAGGTGATTTTGAGATTTTAGAATTCTGCATCGTGTCTTCAATTAATTGTTATTTTCTGTATCTATTGTTAACAAGAAATATCATGTAGGTTTTGGATCTACTGGAAGGTAGACCGATTTATACTCTAAAGGGACATACTGGTGAAATAACGTCAATAACATTCTCCCAAGATGGTGATTTCTTTGCTTCTGGTGGCATGGATCGACAAGTTCTAATGTGGAAGTCTAATTTCTGTAGGGATGATATAGCCGGAAAGGTTCCGAGACAATTAATACCTCCTGCCAGTAAACTAGAGTTTAAGATGGATATTGCTGAATCAGATGGGAAGCCACTTGCGAATAGTGAAAAACGTAGAGAACATAAACAACAGAAGCAGAATCAAGAAGAAATAATAACTCGAGAAGAAGTAACTGAATAAAATATATAAAATATAATCATGTAACATATATATATATATATATATATATATTACATAATTATATATATAGAGTTACAAAGAGTAATAATTGCATCGTAAAAAAGCATTGTATTAAGTATATCATATAATATCATATGTTTAGAATTTCTAATGTTATATTAACGTATCTCATGCGAGATATGTATTGTTCCCTAGTATTTATCGAACGTACTGGAAGACTTGGATCTGGAATCTGGTAGAAACCACTACAGAGGTCCCATTGTTGATATACCGAGGAAAGAAGTCGAAGTGATCAATATGAGAAACATGAAATCTCCCGCAAAGAGTCGTGTAGTAAACTTGGTAGTACCACGACATGAGGAATCCCTTTACACGCAATCGTCTAGTCAATCTATTAGAGCAGTAGAGGCACTTCGTGATCAAGTACAGTCGTTACGCGACACAGTTAATGTATTGGAGGAACGTTTGACAGTATTAGAGGAAACACTCAAGAAGTAAATTTTAATCCTTTTTTAAATTATAATTATTGATTATATAGGATAATTTGTACGTGTTTGCATGTGTGTGGACTATGTATGCGTGAGGCCTTGATAAGCGATATTTTTTAAATAGAATTTAAATTAACTTTCTTTGTAACACTTATGAAGATATTAACGAAGTTCCCTGATGATAAACACGTCTTAATATTTTATATACGTTATACTACAAATATTATAATTGATAAGAAAATATACCACTGTATGTTATACAAATTTTTACATTAAATGCTTACATATGGCCAGATATATGCAAAAACAATTTATTATGTAAGACCTTACATATAGTATTTTTGTACTTTTATATACAAAACCACGAATTGAAGTACAATAAATTTTTTATATAAAATAATATAACAAAAAATATCTCTTTGTTAATACATGTGTGATAGTACGTATTAGCAGCATCTGATATATTTTGTAAAATCTCAGTTTTGTGTTCTTAAAAATTGGCATTTCTTCCCCGTCTTTTTAATTATCTCCAAAATCTCGTCTGAGCTGAGTCCTGTAGTCACTGAGACCTTATTTCCTGGTAAATCTATTTTGATATCATCGATACCTGTAAAATTTATACAACAAGTTACATTTCTTAAATATATTTTGAATATATGTGCTGCAATGTACATTCATACTGTGCTTTGTTCTTAAAATCTCACTATTAAAATATGCTGTTATTTTTGTTACTTTCTTTTCTCACACAATGCATGGAAACGTTTAACCTCAATTCATACATTTAATGAAATTGTTATGAGAGTAAAATTTATAGAAAACTATAACAAAGTAATGATTGCCGAACATATATAAATATGCAAAAAATATTTTTATGTTTACATGCAATATTGATTGCAAATCTCTTCAGTTTTTACCTGTTTTTTTCTTGAGCACCTTCTCCACAGCTGTGGAACATCCTTCGCACGTCATTTCAACGTTGAATTCATGTACCTGACAAATAGTATAATTATAATATAATTTATCAAACATTCCTATTGTTTAACAAAACCGAAAAATGATCATGTTACCTGAGCTGCCATAATGACAATAAGTCCGTTCAACGTGGCAAGGAGGTTGATGCCAGTTCGACTGTCGAAAAAGGAGTGTGTAAATGTACAAGGGAAATCTTATCTGCACAGTAAGATAAAACACGTTGACTGTGTGCGTTCAACGAAAAAAAAAAACAGATTAGCGCTTTGCGCTGCGAATTTTTCATTGAACGACACTTAACAGCTTGACGTTTTTTCAACATGTCTACTAGACGGTCTAGCATATTAAAAGTATGCCAGAAAAAATAACGACCTTAGTATACATCACAGAATGGCTCAGTTCGTCTTATATGCTTTCGTCTTGAAAGTGTTGTTCTATCTTTCTTTTTCACTACATGCTGGAGGAAAATAGAACGACACTTTTAGTATGAAAGCATGTGAGATAAATTTAACCAGAAGTCTTAAGAGCCTCTGTTTTACATAAACTAGACAATAAAGGCGTATGCTATATATATATGCACATTTCTACCATCATGGTTTAAATTTAATCGATGAAAATCTCAACGAAATTGACCAATCGTATTGGCCAATTAGCAGAACATTATCAATGCGATTGGTTAATTCCGTTAACCGCCAATTTAAACCATGACGGTAAGGAACGGAGATTAGCTAATTACTATTATAAAGAAAATACCTCAGTTTATATATTTGAATAAACACATAGACAAAAAAGCGACCATCAAACGAATAGTAGTCAAGATTAAATAGAATAGGAAGGAAGATACGAAAGGGGATTTTATTATTTAATTTTTACATTCATTACAATCATTTTAACGGATGTTTAAATGATTTCAACAATCTATAGTACAAAGCCATTTAACATTAAATTAAGAAGCGTTCGAAGTGATTTCCGTATACATCGATACAATAATGTAGTCGTCAAATTCCCAAAGCACGTACTCTTCTTATCACTTCTGAACTGATTACAACGCATGCTGCAGTAATTCGCTGCGATTATAGTGCGATTATAGTACTAAGAAAAGCTAGCCATACCAGAAAATATGAAGCAACGGATTACTGCAGCTTATCAGTCCGGCAGTGATAAGAAGAGTACGTGCTTTAGGAATTGACGACTATAATGTTGCATCGATATAAATGGGCATCACTTCGAACAGTTCTTACGAGGGTTGCTACTTATATTTCTGGCCTAATAATGAAAAACAAATATTTATGATCGAAATTGATTTTATTGTTTTTCAAAATATTCTCCATGATGATCAATACACTTTTGCATGCGTTTGAACCAATTTTCGAAGCACTTTTTCCACTCCGATTGAGGTAACTGCAAAACATGCATTTTGAATGCATCAACCGCTTCTTCGGGTGTCGAAAATCGTTGACCACGTAATTTATTTTTGATGTGCGGGAACAAAAAAAGTCATTGGGTGCCAAATCAGGGCTGTACGGCGGATGACCCATCAATTCGATGTTTTGGCCGGTCAAAAATTCCTTTGTTTGACCCGATGTGTGAGAGCTCGCATTGTCATGATGAAGAATAATTCGCCTCTTCTTCTGCTTTTCTTCAATTTCTCCGATGACTTCCGGCAAACAAATGGTCGTGTACCATTCAGAATTGACCGTCCTACGGTGCT